CCCTTGAACCTACCAAGAAAAGATTCAGAAGTCTTCCCAGGGAACCCAGATAAAGGCAACGGAAAACTTTCCGAAAGGTCCTCTTCACACTCACTCTCAGGTTGGAGATAGCTGTTCTGAGGAGGCAAACCTTTTCTTCAAGGCAATGCTCCATAAACATGAATATTTTGCTTATTGGCCCTTCTGCTATCAGGGATTCCCAAGACCTGGGTTTGACATGCACTTTCAATACATCTTACAATGCAGGTTTGGACTGTCTTTAAGCAGGAGAAGGACAATGGGTGGTAGATACGGATTATTATTAGTATTATTTTTAAACATCAGCCCTTTATGTACCCGCATTCATTTGGCAAGTTCTGCCATTCTGCCTCATTTTACTCAAGGCCAAATAATCCCAAAGCCTTAAACATTTTTCACATATCGGTACAATTTCCCCCTTTAGAGAGAAAAAACAAGAGGAATTGGGAGATTCCCAGACTTGTTTAGACAAGTGTTTAAACTGTGAGTTTAAACTAGGCACCCAACTGTTCACAGAAAATGAGTCCAATTATGTAGAAAGTAGAATCTCAGTGCACGAATTTGTGCACGGGTGGGGTCCAGCCAGCCCGGCCCCAATCAGGGCAGATCAGGGCTGGGCCTGTCGGGAGGAGGAGATGGCAGTAAGTTGGGGTCCTATCAGGGTCAGGCCGGCTGGAGGGAGAGACCACAGGCGATAAGCCTGCAGGCCCTGCCCCCGATTGGGGTTTGGGGGCTGATTGGGGGTGGGACCGGCCATGGGGAGGGGCTGTGGGAGGTGGGCCAGTGGGATCCGAACCTGAATGGGGTGGGGGTGCTGATCGGGGGCCAGCAGCCTGGTGGAGGGTCCACGGTTAGTTAGCCAGCCGGCCTTGCCCCTGATTGGGGTGGAGGGGTTTGATCTGAAGTGGGGGTGGGCGAGGGAAGGGGCTGTGGGCCGATCAGGGTGTTGGGGACCCATCGGGGGTTGGGCCAGCTGGGGGAGGGGCTGCAGGAGGTTGGATGGCCAGCCCCACCCCCTATTTGTGTGGGGGTGCAATCAGTGGCAGGGCCAGCCTTGGGGAGGGGCTGTGGGCCTTTCATGGTGGCACAGGCTGATCAGGGTCAGGCCAGCCGGGGAAAGGAGCCGCAGGAGGTTTGCCGGCCAGCCCCATGCCTGAAGAGGCCAGTTCACTGGACACAGTGGGCATTATAGCGACCGGTCATCCGTCGTTCCGGTTGTTCTGGACGCTGGCTTTTTATATATATAGACGACGAGGGTCAAGGCAAGACAAGGGTACCAGCTCAGGTTCCACATAGGAAAGACCGAGAGTCATGGGCTAATTTTCAAATCTGAGACAGCCAGAGCTGGCTGAGAGGTGGAATTAATAAATTTAATTTCAGAAAATATCTTCAGATCTCCCTACACTGTGAATACAGAAGAGCATATGCATCACTTGGTAGAAAGCACGTATCAGAGAAATTCAGTTGCTGGATGTAACAAGTTCCTTACTAACATGTAAACATGCAAGACTCATCAAGGAAATAGCTCTAATATGAACTTCAACAAAATTGGTAACCTATCTATATATATAAAGATGAAATATGCAAATTAGGCCAGGATGCTGCACCAGTCACACCCAGACAGGCGGAGGTTGCCCATGCAGGTGAGGCCCAGAGTGAAGACAGAAACAGAGACAGGGGGGCCGGCCCACAGCCTACACAGCCGAGCGCAGGCCCAGAGAGGAGATGGTGGGACCGCCTCCTGCGGAAGCAGCTCAGGTCCCTCCTGACTCCCGTGGGTGCCAGTGGCTCGCTTCCACCTCCTGCGCGCTGTGGTTCCCGCCTGCTCCTGCGGAAGCATCTGGCAGCCTACTGTGCACGATATCTCGCGATGGGCTACTAGTGTGATTAATAAAAGGCTTAGGAGAGTGATGATAAAAAAAATTCAAGTCAGAGACACTCCTGATTCTTTAATGCAGTCTTACCATCAAATTTTGCAACTGTCTTATTGTAGAGAATCTATTTTTAAAAAATTTTTCAACTATAGTTGACATTCAATGTTATATTAGTTTCACGTGTACAGCATAGTGGTTAGACGTTTATATACTTTGTGAAGTGATTCCCTCTGATAAGGTTAATGCCTGCCTGACACCACATATAGTTATTACAAGATTATTGACTATATTCTCTATGCTGTACTTTCCAACCCAGTGACTATTTTGTAATTGACAATTTGTACTTTTTAAAAAAATATGTATTTTTTTTATTGATTTCAGAGAAGAAGGGAGAGGGAGAGAGAGATAGAAACTTCAATGATGAAAGAGAATCTTGGATTAGCTGCCTCCTGCACGCCCCCCACCGGGGATGGAGCCCAAAACCCAGGCATGTGCCCTTGATTGGGATCAAACCCGAGACCCTGCAGTCCACAGGCTGAGGCTCTATCCACTGAGCCAAACTGGCTAGGGCCCAATTTGCACTTTTAATCCCTTCACCTTTTCACCCAGCCCCCCAACCCTCCTCCCATCTGGCAACCATTAGTTTGTTTTCTATGTCTATGAGTTTCTCTTTCATTTGTTTGTTTATTTATTTATTTGCTTATTTAGATTCCACATGTAAGTGAAATCATATGGTATTTATATTTCTCTCTCTGACTTATTTCACTTAGTATATTACCCTCTCTTAGTATATTACCCTCTTAGGTATTATTCCATTTTATACTAGTATATGTACCACTTCTTTATCCATTAATCTATTAATGGACACTAGAGTTGCTTAAATATTTTGGCTATTGTAAATAATGCTTCAATGAACATAGGGACGAATATGTTTTTTCAAATCAGTGTTTTGGATTTCTTCAGATAAACACCCAGAAGTATAATTGCTGGGTTACAAGGCAGTTCAATTTTTAATTTTCAAGGAACAGCCGAAACTGTTTTCCATAAAGGCTGCACCATTTGCAAATCCATCAACAATGCATGAGGGTCCCTTTTATCCACATCTTCACCAATACTTATTGTTTGTTGATTTATTGATAACAACTATTCTGATAGGTGTGCAGTGATTTCTCATTGCAGTTTTAATGTACATTTCTCTGATTATTATAGATATTGAACATATTTTCATATGTTTATTGACCATCTGTATGTCCTCTTTGAGGAATATCTATTCAGTTCCTCTACCAATTTTTAAATTGGATTCATTATTAATTCATTCATTAATTAATTCATTTATTGCTGATATGTTGTATGAGTTCTTTTTACATATTGAATATGAATTCCATCACTGGCAAATATTTGTATCACTGGCAAATATTTTCTTTCATTCAGTAGGTTGGCTTTTTATTTTTGTTTTCCTTGCCTGAGGAAACATATCCAAAAAAATATTAGTGACAGCTATGTCAGAAAGTTTACTGTTTTCTTCTAAGAGTTTTATGGTTTGGGGTCATACATTTAAATCTTTAATCTATTTTGAGTTTATTCTTGTAATGTTGTAAGCAAGTGGCCTAGCAGAATACAAAATTAACATTCAGAATTTAGTTGAATATTTTTTGTTAATCCTCACCCAAGTATATCTTTCCAATAATTTCTAGAAAGAATGGAAGGGAGGGGGAGAAACAGAGAAAGAGAAATATCAATGTGAGAGAGACACACTAATTGGTTGCTTCCTGCACACGCCCCAACCAGGGTCAGGGATCAAGCCTGAAACTGAGGTATGTGCCCGTAACTGGAATCAAACCCCGGACCGTTCAGTCTGTGTGCTGGCAGTCTATCAACTAAGCCAAACCGGCTAAGGCTGGTTGTATTTTTATACACCAATAACAATTGGAAAGAAAAATGAATAAAAACAATCACTTTCCCAACTGCACCAAAAAATACCTAGGAATACATATAACCAAGAAAGTAAAAGACCTGTATTCAGAATATTATAAGACATTGAAGGAAGAAATTGAAGAAGATACAAACAAATGGAAGTATATACCATGCTCACAGATAAAAAGAATTAACCTCATTAAAATCCATATTACCCAAAACAATCTATAGATTCAATGCAATCTCTATCAAAATACCTATGGAATTTTTCACAGAACTAGAACAAATAATCTTAAAATTTACATGGAACCACAAAAGACCCTGCATAGCAAAGCAATATTGAGAAAGAAGAACAAAATTGGAAGTATGACGTTACCTGACCTCAACTTACACTACAAGGCCATAGTAATCAAAACATCATGGTACTGGCATGAAAACAAACGCATTGATCAATGGAACAGAATAGAGAGCCCAGAAGAAAAAACACCACACACCTATATGGTCAATTAATCTGTGACAAAGGATGCAAGAATATACAATTGGGTAAACACAGTCTTTTCAACAAATGGTGATGGGAAAAAAAGACAGATACATACAAAAATTAAAATAAGATCATATTTTTTCAGATTGCAAACATACCCAGAGTATGGTAAGTTATACGCCAAACTACCTAAGATCCTAGACAAGAGGTTTTCTGCTGAAAGCACGGTGAAGGGCATTCTTGACCTCCTTGTTTCTCAGAGTATATACCACAGGGTTAAGGAGAGGAGTAAAAATGGTGTAGGTCACTGAGATCAGCTGATCCTGATCTTTGGTGTTCTCCGACTCAGGCTTGAGGTAGGCAATGGAGGCACAGCCATAGTGGACAATGACCACGATGAGGTGAGAGGCACACGTTGCAAAAGCCTTCTTTTGGCCCTCACTTGAGGCAATCTTGAGGATGGTGGAGATGATAAGGATGTAGGAGATGAAGACCAAACCCATGGGCACCACAATGACAAGGGAGCTGATGATAAAAGTGATTATGTCATGTAGATTGTTGTCAGCACAGGAGAGTTTCATAACTGGGCGGATGTCACAGAAATAATGGGCCACCTCTTTACCACAAAAGGGCTGACTGAACACAGAGGAAATCTGAATGATGGCCACAAGCAGGCCAATGCTGCAGGCCCCCCAAACCAGCTGGGCACACACTTTCTTGTTCATGATGACTGTGTACCTCAAAGGTTTGCAGATGGCGACATAGCGGTCATACCCCATTGCAGTGAGGAGAAAGCAGTTGTTGATGGCCAAAGTGATAAAAAAGAACATCTGGGTGGCACAGCCAGCCAAGGAGATGGAGTGGCTTTGTCCTATGAGGCTGGAGAGCATTTGTGGTACAATGACCAATGTGTACATAGTTTCTGAAGTTGAAAGCATACTAAGAAAGAAGTACATGGGGGTGTGAAGGTGGCGATCAATACTGATAATTGTCACAATGATGACATTGCCAGCCAGGGTTAAAACGTACAAGGTGAGAAATATTGCAAAGAGAATAAGTTTGTGTTCATGAAAGCTGGAAAAACCCTGAAAAAAAAATTCACTCACCACTGTGTAGTTCTCTCTCTTCATTGATAAATTCCACATCTGGTAGCTGGAGATTTAGGCCAATCAGTCAGTATACATCCACGCCCAATGCTTTGAGCAGGACAACTCTAGGAGGAGTAGATACTAAGAACCTGCTCCTGCATGGATGCCAGGGAAATGGAGACTACTGCTCACTAACAGGTAAAGATAGAAAAACACAATCAGGAAGCAATTCCATGTATGCAGACTTATGTATAGCAGTAAAGAAGAATACACAGAGTTGTGATAAGTTAGAAGGAAGGATAACTGGGCTAGTTTAGAACAGAATGGAGACTACTGCTCACTAACAGGTAAAGATAGAAACACACAATCAGGAAGCAATTCCGTGTATGCAGATTTATGCCTAACAGTAAAGAAGAATACACAGAGTTGTGATAAGGTAGAAGGAAAGATGAGAACAGATTTCCTGATGAGTAAGAACACAGGTGTTAGGGGAAAACTGAGGCTAAAGAAATAGAAAATGCATAGTTAAATTTTAAAAGCATTTTCTCCTGGATTACAGTTGCATGGTTTTGTTTACCTAAAACAAATTTGCTAATCTATTCTACTTTGTTTAAAGCACAATTTTGATCTTAAACATCTTCCCTTCTAAGTTGCCAAGTAACAGATAAGTGTTTGCTTTCTCCCTGTTCCACTTGTCTGCATCTTTCATAAACCATTTTCACAAATCATTCAATAGCCTCAAACCTGACTGCCCTCCTCATTTTGAAAAAAAAAAGTTTTTATTGAGTTTATTGGGACAACATTGGTGAATAAAATTATATAGGTTTCAGGTGTTCAATTCAATAGAATATTATTTGTATATTGTATCGTGTATTTACCACCCAAATCAAGTCTCCTTCCATCTTCATTTTACCTCCCCTTTACCCTTTTTACCTCCTTCCAACCCCCTTTCACTCTGGTGATTTACCATACTGTTGTCTGTGCCTATGAGGGTGTGTGTGTGTGTGTGTGTGTGTGTGTGTGTGTGTGTTTTAATCTCTTGCATTGGTTTTTAATGAAGCATGTTTTTCTCTTTAGTCAATACTTTACTCCAGTCTCCTCTTGCACAGAAAGTCTTCTCAATCCTATCAATCCAAGCCCTTTTCCATTGCTTGTGTTGCTCTGTAACTAATTCTCATAAAATGAGAGAGAGAGAGAGAGAGAGAGAGAGAGAGAGAGATTTTTTCTTAATAACTTTCATTGGTTTTTAATGAAGCATGTTTTTCTCTTTAGTCAATACTTTACTCCAGTCTCCTCTTGCACAGAAAGTCTTCTCAATCCTATCAATCCAAGCCCTTTTCCATTGCTTGTGTTGCTCTGTAACTAATTCTCATAAAATGTGTTATTTCTCTGTGTATTGTAGCTTGTGCTTGCATATGAATTTTTATAGGTAGTCTGACTCACTACTCTGAACTCTCTTTTCTAATTTCTTCAGCATTATAAACTGGGTATCTGGGGAAAGCAGTTTGCACATCTGTCCTATTTTCTATTTGAGGAGTAATTGGGGATCACAAATTTCTCATTTTAAAAATTAACAATGATAACAACAACAAAATTAATAGTCCCTTATTGCACTTCTTAGTTTATAAAGCATTTTTACATATATTATTTAACAGCATAACAATCCCGTGTGTTAGGTAATTATTATCTTCATCTTGCAGATGGAAAATCTAAGACACCTAGGATTAGGTGATTTGTCCAAAATTTAAAAAATCATAGATTCAATCTTTTAATTCTAAGGCCAGTGTGAACAGATAAAAAAGAAGGCTATTTTGGTCTCTATTAACAAGTATTAATACATTTGCCTTACTCTGGGAATGAGATTACATTGAGGAATAAATTTGAAAAATTGAAAATCATTAGGAAAACAGGAAAATTTTTACGATTACCTATATAAGTAGGTAAAATATTATAACACATGCCCATTCTCCTTGGCTTAATATTTTCACTTCCAATTATTTATTTTAAAGAAATAATCAGAGATATGTATCAGGATGCATGTGTAAGAGGGTTTTATAATATCATCTATAATAATAAAAGGGTAATACAGGACATCTTTCTGGACAACCTTCCGGATGAAGCCAGGGCTGTGAGGTCCGAGGCAGCCACTGCAGCTACCAGGGCCGAGCCCCTTGAATGAATTTCGTGCATTGGGCCTCTAGTTTATAATAATGAAGACCAAAAACAATGTAAATGAAAATGGAATGATTAAATAAATTATATCATATTCATTTAATGGGAACTATGTGCCATACATACATAGTTATATAGATACATAGGTAGATACAAAGATACATAGACCATAATTTTGTAAAAAGGATATAAAGAAAAGAAAAAAGAAAGAAATGAAGGTAATGCATTCAATGGCACACCTGCCATTAAAAAAGGACTGGAAACAAATATACCAAAATGCTAAAAATAATTTGTTCTAGGTAGTAAATGGAGAATCTTAAGTTATCTTTCTCTGTGTATAATACATATTTTCTTCTTAACACAGCCAAATTCTATAATTCTGTTCCAAAATGGAACTCTATTATGAGACTGCAGAGAGGACTGAGGAGAAAAAAGTGAAAGTAGGGGGTTAATTTATGGTTCAGACAGGAAAGTTGACAGAACAGGCATTTATAGCAATTTGAGCACCTCAGGACCACGTAGGGAGGAAATGAACTTTAACTTTTAAAGAAAGATTATGGTTGGTAGAAAGAAAACCTTTCTGAACAGTGCTGGAAGTAAGGGTGGTAAGTGAGTGTAAAATTTAAGGGAGCACCAAAAAAGTCAGTAATCAAGATGAATACAATTTTAATACAATAGCTTTTAAACCTTAATGCAAAAATCCATGATGAAAAAATACTAAAACTTTTAATAACCACAGGGTCATTTCTGGGTATTACTAAGTGAGATATAAGTAGTTGGGTGAGGTCAGAGTTTGAAATTTCCTTATTACGGATTTTTAAGAACAAAAAAAAATAAACTATTTCAAAATTTAGAGAAAAATGAACAGTACAATATGCATGTGTTAGTTTTCCTTAGGGATGTGGGAATAAGCTGGTCCTTAAGCGTTCCTGCTTTACTGTGGCTCATAATTTATTATGGAACGAAACTCAGATTGATGGAAGAGGAAATTCAATCCTACCTACACTAAAAGGAAAGAAAAACTCAGCCAGGCTACGGAAGAGAAAAGATTGACCTGTGCGTGTGCATTACTGCCATTCCGTTTCCTCTGCTGGAACTACAGGGTGGTAAGTGAGGCACTGATCTTGGGTGCAAAATTTAAGGGAGCTCCAAAAAAGTCAGTAATCAAGATGAATACAATTTTAATACAATAGCTTTTAAACCTTAATGCAAAAATCCATGATGAAAAAATACTAAAACTTTTAATAACCACAGGGTCATTTCTGGGTATTACTAAGTGAGATATAAGTAGTTGGGTGAGGTCAGAGTTTGAAATTTCCTTATTGCGGATTTTTAAGAACAAAAAAATATAAAGCATTTCAAAATTTAGAGGAAAATGTACAGTACAATATGCATGTGTTAGTTTCCCTCAGGGATGTGGGAATAAGCTGGTCCTTAAGCGTTCCTGCTTTACTGTGGCTCATAATTTATTATGGAACAAAACTCACTAATCGTACTTACACTAAAAGGAATAGAAAAACTCAGCCAGGCTATGGAAGAGAAAAGATTGACCTGTGCATGTGCATTACTGCCATTCCGTTCCTCTCCCACTCCCCCGCCCCCAGGAAAACAATGACGCATCAAGTGGCAAAGACCTGATGCCTGACAGCACTAGGACTGCAATGTGATCCTGATCACTGAGACCACACGCAGCCTCCGTCCCTGAAACCATGTCACTGAGAGACGCAGCATTTGACACCATTTTCTGTTGCTTTATATTCTGGGTCTTTAGCCTAAAACATCTCTCCACAATTTAAAAAATGAAAAATTATTACCTTCTAGAGAAATCATTTTCTGCTTAGACCTGACGAGCACTCCTGGGCAAGGGGTTAATCTTATCCATTTCATTATTCAAATCTTTCCAGTTGGAAGCAAGCTGGGAAAACTCTTATTCTTTGTAGCCTTAAGTTCTTTCATTAGAACTGAATCATAGAAACTTAGAGTTAGGAGGTAATTTTAAAAGCCCAGCTTTCCTCACAAATAGTTCACCAAATTCTGCTTCAGTGCTTCCAACGATTGGAAATTCATTATCTTACAAGTTAATGCCCCGTTTTTGTTTTTTGTTTTTGTTTTCTTTAAGAATCTAAGTTTACTTAAAAATATAAAACTAGGCTTTTTAAAAAAAATAAAAATGCTTAAGGGGGAAAAAGCCATCTGTAGAGTATAAATGGGAAAGGTAGTTTTCTCCTTCTGTAATTTGCATTCTTTAGTCCAGAAGGAAACATAATTCATGTTTGTTTTTTAAATTTATTTATTTCTGCCTAAAAATTTTCTATGTACAATTATGCATATTTCCATATCATTTCAATTTTATACAAATGAAATTATATGGGACACACCAATTCACAAGTAGTTTTTTTCATTTAAATATTTTTTTGAATACTTTCCATAACAGTACTATAAATCTATCTCACACTTTATTTTCAATGGTGCATGATATTCCATTTAGATCCATGTAGATATACTGTCATTAATTCTATTTTTGAATGACCTTAATTCTTAGAAAATGTTACATTATATTGATTCAATATCTGTCTGCCTGCAACTTTCCACCTCCCCACAGTAGCCTACCTTCTGTTTCCTTTTCAGCCAGATAGTATTTAAAATATTTGAAGATCATTATTATGTCTCTTAAATTTCATGTCCTTGAATCCATACCCACAGCAAGATGAGCATAAAGAAATAGAATATCAACGGACATGAGAATCAATACAACCAAATACTGAAAACCGTAGAGGGAGAAGAATAAGCTTTTGAAAACTCTACATGGCATCCATTTCCATTTAGTTCTGCCAACAGCAACTCCCTGCTTCTGACCTTGGCAACTGGAAGGAGGAGCCACTTTCCGGATAGTGATCTTTAAGAGGAACGGAGGGGCTGCATCTGTTCTGAGGAAGCCTAGGAAAGCTCTTTGTGGTGGAAGCCAGAACCAGGAAAGCGATGAGGGCATGAGTGGGAGGGATAGGGGTAACGTGGGGATAAGGACACATATATAATAACTTAATCAATAAAATAATTAAAAAGAAAGAACCAGGAAAGCAAGGAAAAGTCAGCTTTCCCTCGCATCAGAGAGAACTGCAAATTATTGCTGAACTCCTTGAGGCTGGGGCATTGGTTTCTTTGGCTGGGGAAGTGGTGCAGGAAAAATGCGGTCTCTTAAACCCCAGATTTCAGGAGCTTGGGATGTTTATTTTCCCCGAGAGGAGAAAATTTCTTTGCCTCAAGCCTCCTGGGAACTCGCCTCTGAAAACCCCTCCGGGTACTAAGAGGTAGAATGCAAGGACCCTAGAGCATGTCTCACAGGTTTCATTAGGACCCGGGGAAGCAGATGAGAGGGAGGCTTGCATGTGTTTACTAGTACTCACTATTGGGGATTGAGAAACTAGCACCGCACTGAGTTTTAATCAAGAAAAACTCTAGGAATACTTAATAAGCTTACACAGAGAAAACCCCCAATTTTAGATTTTTTAGGATTTGAGAGAAACCAACTTCCTGAAACTTATTCAAATAAGATGAGGTGCCCTGGCTGGGTGGCTCAGTTGGTTGGAGCATCAGTGAAATGTTGCCGGTTCCCTTCCTGGTCAGGGCACATACCTAGGTTGCAGGTTTGATCCCTGGTGGGGAGCATATGAGAGACAGCTGATTGATGTTTCTCTCTTTCTCTCTCTCTCTCTCTCTCTCCCCCCCTCTCTAAAATCAATAAACACATCCTCAGGTAACGATTTAAAAAAAAGATGGAGGCAAGCAGAGGTTATAGGGGCTAGAGCTTCTGTTGCCCAGCTTCAGCCTACAGCCAATTTTCTTAAGTCTCATTGGATATACACGTCAGCCTAACTCTCTCATTTATGGAGAGCAACCTCCCATTCTTGGCAACAGCAGACCTATTCCTCATGCTCCCTTCAGTTCATTCACAGATTTTGCTGGAGAGAAAATGAAACAGCAATAGATCACTACTCCATCAAGTTCAGTTTCTGGCTCAGCACAACTGCATTAAGATGATCTCTGTACCCACAGGAGATGTTTGAGGAGCCATGTTAGCCATACACTGTAAAACAAGGTTGCTATAATGATCTTCAAACCAGACTGAGAATTTTCTGTCTAAAATACTCCTATTTTCTAATGAAAAAATAAGCTGATGAACAAAATAGATCCAGAGACATGGAAGAATGGAACAGACTGTTGAATAT